TTAATATTTTATTTAAAAAAATTAAACTTTTTTCACTCAACATATCATTAAAATTATTGTTATCTTTCAATTGACCACATATGTATGTTGTCTACAATTATGTTTAGTTAGATAGAACATCATGGCTATTTCTCAAGTTGACCGTCTATTACTTGTGGTTGTCAAATGCCTGCAGGTTTAAGTTTCTGTCATCGTCTTCGGTAAAAGATAATTGTTCTGGTCTCTCTAGTCATTAATGTATCTGGTTACTGGTTTCAGGTCCAGAGATGCAAAGGAGAAGCTGATGATACAGATACATTATTGCCAAAAGGGTAGATGATCCACCCTGTGTTCTTACTCGAAGGATTGATGATAGGATCCTTGCAATGATCTGCTTTGTATAATTGTGCCTTTGTTTCATAAGGAAATCGTGATCATGCCCTTTTTCAACTCCTTTTTCCCTTGCCGATGGAAATGACCAGTGGGTCAGCATAATTAGTTATTGTCTTATACCTTTATTTCCTTATGCAAAGTATATGGTTAGTGGCATTGCAATTGATTGCATGCCTTTTTCTTCCATCTTTGGTCCTATGTTTCTTCCCCTTTTTCTTGATTGAGGAATAGAAGTCAAGTTCTTAATGCGTACTTTCTTCTCTCTCTCTCTCCGTTCTCCCCCCCCCCCCCCCTTGCTCCTTATTAATGATTACAACATTCCAACTTCCAAGCAGTTAACAAGTAGTGAAAGAGCACCCCCTAATTCGAAGCAGTTAAACCAATAGTGAAAGGAGAAAAGAAGGGTATGTTGTGTGGAAGTATGGTGGGAGTAAACAAGGGTGGGTTGTGTGGAAGTATGGTGGGGTTAATCTAACATTTTTCACCATTTATGTATGTAGAATTGGCAAAAACCTCAAGACAACAAAGGAAGAAAGGCTGATCTTCCGAAGTCATAGAATTATAATAAATCCATTCATTAGTACAAAAAAAACAAGAATTATAATAAATCCATACATTTCATATCCCTTACAAATGCTATAATTAATTAAAAATAAATTGAAAATTGATATTAATATTTACTTCAAACACGTGAAAGAAAAAACTAATAAGAATATTTTCAATTTGTGGTACAATGCAGCTCAAAAGAAAAAGAAACTGAAAAACAAATAAAGAACAAGAAGCATGTACTTTTTGGTTTCCCACATATGTGTTCTTCTAACAATCTTATAACCCTGTACTTCTCGAAATAAGTAATCGACATTCCCAGTCGATAACATACTTGCATCCTGATTGCGTGCATTTGAGGAATACCTCTTTACAATACTTGTCACAAACACTGCATTTAAGATACTCATGGAAATAATCCTTCTTCGCAATAGTAAGACGGTGCTCATGAAAACGGCACTTGTTGTTGAGAAAAAATTGGTGCGCGGAATAAATTAATTCCTGTGAATAGAACATGTGAACAATAACAAAGACCGGTGAAATAGGCGGCTTAGCTGACCAATATTAACGGTTAGTGAAAAAAGGCGGCTTAGCCGACCAAGCAAAATAAAATGGGCGGTTCAACCAACCACTTAAGCGGGAAAATAAACAAGCAAAATAACACCAAATTTTACGTGGAAAAATCCCCAAAAACTATTGAGGGAAAAAACCACGGGACAAACTCCGAAGGGTATTCCACTATATGATAAAATTGTACAGAGTATACACTCAAGTATTTTCTCTCTCTTGGTGTTTCCCACTCCCCCAGGATATAATCACAATCCTGATAAACTCACAATTTTATCACTCAATGTACTCTCTCTATGGAGCACTCTCATACCTAAGCTTAATGCCTAGCTTTCACCCCTTTTTTCCCTATCCCCGGAGCCCTCTTTTTGCTCACTTTGGTGCTGCACTCTTTGCTTCTTGCTTACTTATTGCCTTGCCATTGCATGCTATTT